GCAAAGCCTGACCTCACTTCCAGAGAGCATACAATTTCGTTTTCCTGTTGAGCTCCATGAGGAGTTCTTTGTTCAGCCAAGCTGGTCTTCTGCCCTGCTTGCTTGACTTATGACATAGTGGAATTGCCTGCTCCTGTGCTTCTAAAAGGTGAGCCTTAAAAGACTGACTAGCACTCGTGGACTCCTAAGCCCTCAAACAAATTCCCAGGGTACTCTGCAGGTGGTTGGAACTCAATGATCTCTAAGATCCCTTCCAACCCAAACCATTCTATGATTCTGTGATTCTACATTCAATTGCTAATCTGGGCAGCTCCTGTCCTCTTGTTAGAAGCTGTTGGCAGCAACACAGTGGCATAGAGCTACTTGCGTATGTGCAGGCTACAGGGCATATCCAGTACTCAATGTCAAAGAAAGTGCTCTGAAGGTCTTGTGAGTGCTGCAAGGGCTTGCGGGGTATCTGTTGTGACTGAGGTTGTTTTGTGTAGCACAGTAGGAAAGTGCTTTTGACAGCAGGGAGGTGGTCTGCACACCTGCAATGCAGGCAGTTTCAGTTGAGTGAAACAGCCTGCTAGGGGTCTGTTGATCTTTCTGCAATGATTATGTAGCAGCTGAGAAACTGAAGACCTAGCATTCCCTATAGAAGAAGTAAGGATGCCAGTTGATTAGTATTAAGATAGTAAGACTTTTAATTACCCTCTTTTCTGGATTTATATCTTTCTGAGTCTTAAGTCTTTTTATCCTTTTCTGGAATTTTTTTGTTTTTAAAAGATCAGCATTTTTTGTATGTAGAAATTTACTTCAAAATCAGATGCCCTTGTAGAAACTAAAATTAAAGCACTGTATTTAAAATTCATAGTTTTTAAAGTAGATCATAAGATCATAAGTCTCATCTAATTGCATATACAAGTCGATCTGCTAGAATATGAAGGTACACTTTTATATAGAGGAATGTATGAACTGTATGTTCAAGATTATAACTTACTGAGTTTACTCAGGATTATGTGTTTCCTTACACAGATGGGTGTTACCCTTCTTCTTGTTAGGAAGCAGTCTTCAAAATTAAATAGTTGGAGAATGTTTGCATGGGCAATTAAAGTGCACATATGTGAAAAATTAAAAAAGAGAGGAAAGACTAAGCTTTAGCTTTACGTATTGTGCATTAACCAACCTTGCTGTCACAGAACACTTGGCCAAAGCTGCCTCATCGTATTGACTCCAATACTATGACTGGGTTTCTTCAAAACCACATATTTCGTATGTAATTGCATGGAATGACTTTCAAGGTCTGTTAGTCAGAATAGGAGCTTTGACATATAAGGAACAAGTAGGTAAGCAGTTCACCTGATAACCCTATTTTTTCTTCCATGAAGGTGTGTTTCCTTTAAAAAAAAACCCCAAAGGTAAACGGGCATAATTCCCAATCTGATGTAGTGAGATTATAAATGGAAGCTCTATCATGGAAAAAAGAGACCAGGCTTGGGCTTCAAGGCTGAAGTGCAATGATACATTTGTGGGGAAATTTATAGTGTATGCTGAACTCTTTCAGTTTACATCACTTGCACCAGATTATGAAGTTGCCTATCAGCATAGAGTATGGCATTACCACCTTATATGTTACTGTTCATTTTTCAACAGGTACCGGCACAAGCATTCATTAAACATGTAAACTCTGCCAGTTATATAGATTGGTGTTTATTTAGACTCTGAAGAACATCTGAAACCTCAGTGACTCTCTTACTGCCTTTCTGCATAGAAAAATACGTTGTTCTTAATCTCTTGCTTTTTGGTAAATCACATTGCTTGTCCAATTTTCTTTGTCTTGTACACTGATGCCATTGAAACAGAGGTAAGAGCTCAACACACAATGGCAAAGCTTCTGAAAAAGTTAAGGCTTTTTGAAATAACTGGTGGTCTCTCCATTTTGACAGCATTACGCCTTCAAGGTGAGATGTCTTTCAGGTTTAACACACACACAGGCACACACAGACACACATACATCTTCATGACAGAGATCTTGTATATCACAGTTTAGTTTGGAACAAAAATTTGACAGCACAATTCACTGACAAAAACATTGGAGGTTGTAATGGAAATCGTGATGGATTCCTAAGCATTTTGCAGCACCAAGAAGAGCTACAGCTATTCAAAGTAGCACCATTTCTACTTCTTAAGCTGAAGAAGCTCTCCTGCCAAAGGCAGGATACTTATTTTTTTTCTGAGACATGATAAAGAGGTATACTAATAGCTTTATGTTTTCACACAAATTTGGTTCTGCCAAAGTAAAGAAAATATTACTTGTGGTTATTTTGACTTGGTGGTAGTTTTTTATGTCCCCTTTTTATTCCATGGGACACACAACTCTCAGGATTCTGACGAAGAAGTTGTACTTGTGACATTTTGTTGCATCAAACAGCACAGCAGTAGTTAAAAAGACTTGAACATTTGAGAGAAGGGATTTCAAAATGAACAACTGTTGCTTTCTGTTGCTTGTAACATGCTTTGACAAGTGTAATTTTCTGTCAGCAACAGACTTGTTTAACTCAACCTTCATATGGAAGATCTACTGTGTCGTGCTTGCTTCTCTGTGCATGAAGTATATCCATGTGGTTAGAAACAGAAGCAATTTGTTCCTTCTCACCTGGGACGATAATTAAAAAATTTTTATAGCCAGAGCAAGAACTGGGCCATAAACAGTTAATACCATAACTTAGTAAGTTAATATTGTAGTTGACTCACATGTGAGGGGATACACTGCTTCTTCAGGAAAAGAGGGATCTGACTCTCATAAAATTCGGTCTGTTTTCAGAGAGATTAGGTAGGTAGTAGGTCTCCAACTTGCTTCCCCAGTATACTTAGAATTAATCAATTTCCAAAGACTGCAGTTTTTACATGACTCCATAGGATATATACAAATTGGCTGGATAGTGGTTTGTTTGTTTGGTTGGTTTTTAAATGTCTGTTTAGCAGTAATGAGAGTTGGGAGAAGCAGTTTAACACAAGCTGTCATTAGTTTTTGTAGCTTGATCTCGTGCTGTTCCAAACTTTGCCTCTTTTTTAGATGCTTTTTATTTCTGACATCGCTTCTTTCTTGGCCCTCTTCCCTTAAAAATGTTTCTGTTTCCTGGCCTAAAGTGCCTGACAGCTGTGGAGCCACAGAGCATCTTCTGACAGTGGGCTCGAACAGTGCACATAGGGCTGCCCTTATAGCTCCTGCGCAGGGATTTCCTTCCTGTGCAAATCAAGGTTTTGGGGAAGGGGCTCATCCTGAAGTGGGGTGGGGATGTTGGCACTGAGCCTGCTAGATCTGTACATCTCCACTTCCCCATATCATCACAGGGTTTCATGGCTGTCTCAGTAGTCTGAGGCTGGTGTTAGCCCAGTCCTTGTCCCCAGGTGCATGTCCTGGCTGCTGGCTGCCTCCACAGCAGTGTGAGCCCTGGAAGCATGCCATGCCTTATTGTATTTGGAAGAAAACCCTAGCAGGCTAGGAGGTTGTGGGACAGATCTCCTAGTCCACGGGTGAAACAGAGACATGTGATAGGCAAGATCATCTTAATTTCCCACATACTTGAGCTTTCATAGGAATGCCACTGCCACCCAGCAGAGGTAATATTACTACATGGAATTAAAAACCAAAACAGGACAAAGCAAAAATCCTTATGGAAGTCTGAGGGAGAATGCAGACAGTATTTTTGCCTGAAAGTAAGTCAGACCCTGGGGAGACATAATAAGCAACCTTCAAAAATAGTTTTGGGGGAGATTTTTATGCTGCAGAGCAAGTCTAAAGGAGCAGTGTCCAATCTGAATCATTGGATAGTTTCATGAAGGTCAGGTTTAAAAATAATTGATGTGAACAATTAAGTTGCAGAAATATGCAACCTAGTTATTTTTTTTATATATCATAGCTACTGTGACTGCAAAATTGTTTGGACTTGCTCAGCATAGCTCGTCATGTGTATGCACCAACATCCAATCTCTGTCAGCAGTTTTGGTAAGTAACTAATTGGCACAAGGACACCTCTCAGTGGGACTTCGAAGAGCGTGGGATTCTTCCTCAGTCTGTATCGTAATGTACTGTGTACAGCACATGCAGACTATACATAGGTGTGCTGCTTTGTGCCTCCAGTGCACACGTCGGTGCCCCAGCGTTCACCCTTAGCTGTGCCACAAGCAGAGCTGCTTTCTTCTAAAAACATCTGTAAAATAACCTTGGAAATATGAACCCCTCCAAACTGATGGAGGGACTCCGCAGGGAGTATGAGGTAGTGCCTCTGCCTGCGTGGTGTTACAGGAGCTCTCGGTGGGCACATGGAGCAGGAGCTTCAGCTGTGTATAGACACACACTGCCATGAGCAGGACTGCTTAAACCTGCCAGAGTGGTAAATTGGGGACAGATCTTGCAGGCAGCAGCTGGACGGGTCAGCTTTTGGCTGTCCTGCCCTGCTCTGCTCTCAGTCTGTGTTCCTAATCAACAGTTGAAGAAGCTTCATATTCGCTGTCACGACAGTCATGCTTTTAAATCTGAAAGACTCGTAGACAGAAAGAAGTTATTCCCGCTGTACTGGAGCACCACAGTCACCTGAGGGACATGTTTTTCTGGGACAGAAAGCCCTGACTTGTTCCTTCACAGAATGAAGTGGTGTGTAGGTGATTACAGTAAAAACAAGTGAGGTTAGACTAGCAAGGATTTGACATGTGTAGTGTTCATTAGTACTATCAAAAATAGCTTTGTGTTCAGGCCTCACTGTCCTAAGAAGTTGAACTTCCTTGTGTACTCAGTCAGCCCACGGGAGTTGTTCTGAGCATGTAGCTTGCCTAAGTGCAGTATTTTGGGGTATTACAGATACCGTAAGTTGTTTTTAACATTTTCATTGCTTTATAGTGTTGCAGCATGTTCTGTTTCCTAATGATGGGCTGAAGCCAGATGTGCATCATTCTATTGTGCACGCTTTTAAAATTGACCTTGTTTTTTGTTTTCATCTTTCTGATTTATCCAACAGGGTGGGCTGAGTGCCCAAGCTTTTGTTCGCATCGAGATAGAAGATATTAATGATAATCAACCTGTTTTTGAACAAGCCGTCTATGTGACGAGCATCAGCAGTCACACGCAGCCAGGAACAGAGGTCATCAATGTTGTTGCCACAGACAGAGACTCGGGAATATATGGCGTTGTCACATATGAACTGGTCCCAGGAGAATTTTCTTCTTTTTTCACAGTGGATACATCCACAGGTACTGTATGAGTCTCTGATTCAGAAAGGCGATAAGGAAAAGACACATGTTGTGTAATTGATAATGCTTTTTAAAATTTTGGAGTCATGTCATACAGCTGAAACTTAGATTTGTCTGGAAGATAATTCTAGAGGAAGATGGAGGATTTAGGTTTAACGTGAAGCCTTTGCATTCACTGGAATAAACAGGAGAATGTACATGCCAGTACAGTACAGGACAAGCAGTATGCCACTTATCCACTATTTTCATTCATAAATCTAGTAATCACTGTAAGAAATAATAAAAATTTTTTAATGATAATATCTGAATTTATGAAATGTTTAGATCTTACTCTTGAGGAACAATAAAAGACCTTTCAAGACGATTGTCCTCCCATTTAATCTCTGTTTCTGTCCTGATCTTCTTTCCCCGCATTGTGCTAGAATAAGTCCCCATTCTGCTCACAGTCTTATGATATCCAGCTGCCACCCTGTTTGACCCAATGATTAGCTTTGTAAGTGTCTTCTTCTGCCTTTTACTCCCTGATGTGACTCTTCATCCTTCTGTTTTCTGGAGAGAGCTTCAAGGAAGGAGTGATGATGAGAGCAAGAAAACAGTTGTGGCAAAAGTGAGTCTGGGTGAATTGTTTCGAAAACAGGTTGGATCTCACAGATTGAATTACTTTTCCCATGGCCACAAAGCAGCCTCTGTGGTCTGCTTGCTAACCGTAAAATAGTTATCAATGTCAGCTGGGAAGAACACGAGCAGTGTGTCTACAAATGTCCACAGTGTTTTTCAGGGAGTGGTTAACTAAACTGCACCTACCATTTTACTTGAGAGCAAGCCCTTGCATGTGAGTGTATCCTGATCAATGAGTTTGCTTCATGATGGTCATGACACAGGGGATTATTTTATATGTCTTAAGATTTTTTTGGGCTGTTATAGATGTGTATCTGTTAGCTGTTTGGCATACAAAATGTTGCAAGGCTCTATTCTTTCAAAATGGTGCCTATTTGAACTTTCTTACACAGTCCCCCAAATATTCTGATGAACAGAAGAAACTAATCTTCTCAGGAAGTCGGTCTGCTTGTCTTGGCTATTTCAGAATTTATTTAACTGTGGACTTTTAACTACCTGTCAAAACAGATTCTCTGGGGCATAGCTGATGCCAAAAATATATAGGTCAATCAATAATTAGGGAGCTGGATCTCCACAGGCATTTAACCGTTCATTTTAAAACTGCCCCAGCAGACTTGTCAGAGGGAGCCCCTGTGGATCATGCTAGCAGTACTGGCTTTGCAGCGGTGCTCTCTTTTGAAAGGCATCTTCCTTGGATTGTGACCTTTTGGCCTTTTTTTTTTTCCAATTTTGGCACTTTATGTAGGAAAAATGTCATGGTTAATCATGAAGGCCATATAAGTTTATCAGTTACTATTATCTTGTGAATCTATCATGGTATTTTATCAAAGGCAGACCAAATTCAGGATGAAATTGCTTCACGAGGTCAGTCTGATTCATATTAATAGGGTGTGTTGGGGTTTTTTCTTCTGAAGAATACAGTTTCTCCTTTTATATTCTTCCACGTCTACCTACAGTAGTTCTTATGCCCAGTCACTGGCTAGCAGAATGATTTTTAGACTCTTGGCAGAAATAAATATCGTAAACAAAATTAACATTAAAATTTCCAATTTGTCACACAGAAGTTTTGCAATCTTTGTGGGTTAAATAGCTGCAAAAGCTGGTCAGTGTTCAGAGGAAGATGAAACAAGTGGCTCACTGTTAGGGCATAGAGATTTTGAGCTCTTCCTCTTTCCTTCTTATTAGGACAGTGACACTTTCCAGTTCTCATTGTGCTAAAGCTGTCTTCATATGACGTAATGTATGGCCTAATTTAGATGTGTCTCTCTGAAGGTTATGTGAGGGACTTTAGTTACGTGGGCTGCATTTTGTAAACAGAGGGCAAGAGACAAGTATGACAAGAAACAGGAATTCTTCAGGATATGCATCCCCAAACCCATAAGGCAATCAAGATCATATTACAGTTTTTGTGTTTTGTTTTCTGATGCTGTGGACATGCAATCTGTTGCTGATGTATTCTGCCGTTTTTCCAGTTTGCAGTATGGCATATTCTGTTTTATCTGCTCTTGTCACTCTTAGAGGATCTAAGAGGAGGCACAGTGATGGTGTTAGTCTTCCATGAATTTGCCTTCCTGATAAGGTGGTTTTTTTTTAATGATACTCACTGATAGAGCATTTAGAAATGGGGAATGAAAATCAGTGTATTAGTCTTTTTGACTTAGGTTCATTATGGCCTTGTGGAAGTGGACAGAGATATTTTCACTATTATGAGATTTAAATTAATTAGTAGCTAACAGTTTGTCACATAACACTATGATATATTAAAATTATATGCAAGATGATGCTGTTCTCCATGATATATGTTATTTCTATTTTATGGCATCTAGATTGTGGATTTGAAAATTTATCTCACTGTAGTTTTCCTTGGGGGTGTTTTTGGAGTGGTGCACTTAGAACACTCACTAAAGATTCACTTTTTTTTTCCCCATTCCCTTTTTCATTTTTAAAAGGGAAATGGATAAAATAATAAAAAAAATAACCTGAATTCTTCACTACTGTGGCTTGCTTGTGGCTGTTGTGTTGTTAAAGCAATTGTATGGATGTATCAAGAAAGTTTTTAGCTTTGCGTAGTCTGTGTTCACAATACAGGATATCATACCAGCTGGTCAACCACTGACTGTATAGAATGTATCGATGGTGCTTTTGATATATAGATATTACGAAGTTGAGCCACATCCAGGCTCCTTGAAGGGGCTCCATTTTTTGTTTCAGGCACTGTGGCATGTGGGTGTCAGATAAATTCAATGGGAGTGGAAGGAAAAGCCTTTCATTGAGCAGATAGATATTCCACTAAAAAGTTTTAAAAATTCTAAACAAGTCTTTGTTAGTCATATTTGTTTGCTGTTTTAGCTTTTAGATACTGTGTTTATTGTTTGTGATTTGCTCTTATACTTGTAAATAACATTAATTGCATTTCCCTTCGAGAAAAAATGGCAATGAAGTATTTTTAATTTGATTGATGATACTGTCCACAAGAAAAACCACTTTAAGAACTGTGTAACTAGAAAAATGTATGGATAGGAAACTGTAAACCAGTTCCTTTGCTAGTTCGTGACTCTTGCTATCCTTTGTTTCTAGTGTTGGTGTAAACAACATCTTGGCTTCATTATGTTTCCTTTTGTAGATATCTGATCCATGCATGATCTATGAACAGCACTCATGAATTTATTAGAACAGAACAAGTAGAAGAGCTCTTCTGGCTAAGAAACTGTTTGAGCTATTTGTTTATTTTCCCATCGTTACCTGACAAGCTATCTGAAAGACAGTGTATTTATAGTTATGACTGAGCAGGCAATTACAAATGTAAGTCACAGGATACAATCACAAGTGTGGTAGAAAAGCTATGCAGTGCTTAACTTTAAGACTTTGGGATTAACAATTGAATTTCTAAACTCTCATTATGGTACAAGCATTAATATTTTCTTTTACTCAAGGGCATTCGATTCATTTTTCCATTGATCTTAGTGATACCCTTCTTGAGAGCTGGATAGAAAGATGGTTATCATCTTACTGTAGCCCTGGTTCAAGGAAGATGTTTCAAATCAACAAAATTAATAATAGTCTTTGAAAATTATTTTGGGCCAGTGTGACTTCATCATGTCAGTCTTCAGGTAAATGGTCTGTTTGTATTCTTAGAGCAACTCCCCTAGCTACTCACTGTGTGCAGAGAAAACTCTCATGAAGGGTAAGTAGGAGGGAGCAGCTATTGATTTATGTTTATTTGAAGGTATTAGTGATTTAAACTTGGTATGAAAAAGATGTAGAAAAGTACCATTCACACAGTGTGCTTTACAGCAGTATAAGCATTTAACTTGGCTTCTCTGTTTCTTTCGACTATGAGATATTCAGGCTTGTGTTTCTGTGAATCCTACCTAAATCAGATGCCTAAAACAGAGGCTGTGACCTTCCTTCTTTGGATTTTTCTGAGAATGTCTCTGTGAGTGTGGTAGGTTGACCCTGGCTGGATGCCAGGTAGTCACCAAAGCTGCTCTATCACTCACCTCCTCAGCTGTACACGGGAGAGAAAATATAACAAAAGGCTCATGGGTTGAGGTAAGGACAGGGAGATCACTCAGCAGGTACCGTCACAGGCAAAACAGACTCAGCTGGGAAAAATTAATTTATTGCCAATCAAATCAGATTAAGGTCATGAGAAATAATCCACAAAACTTAAAACACCTTCCCCCCACCCTTCCCTTTTTTCTGGGCTCACTTCACTCCCAATTTCTCTACCTCCTCCCCAACAGCAGTGCAGGGGAACAGAGAATGGGGGTTGTGGTCAGTCCATCATGTGTTGTCTCTGCTGCTCCTTCTTCCTCACTGAGGACTCCTCACACTCTTCCCCTGCTCCACCGTGGGAGGTAGTCCTCCATGAACTGCTCCAGCGTGGGTCCCCCGGGGGGTCACAAGTCCTGCCAGCAAACCTGCTCCAGCCTGGGCTCCTCTCTCCATGGGCCCACAGATCCTGCCAGCAGCCTGCTCCCGTGTGGGCTTCCCATGGGGTCACAGCCTCCTTCCATCCAGCATTCACCTGCTCCTGCGTGGGATCCTCCCCAGGCTGCAGGTGGATCTGCTCCCCCATCACCTCGATGGCTGCAGGGGCACAGCTGCCTCTCCATGGGCTGCACCACGGGCTGCAGGGGAACCTCTGCTCTGGCACCTGGAGCACCTCCTCCCCTCCTTCTGCACTGACCTTGGTGTCTGCAGAGTTGTTGTTCTCACATATTCTCACCCCTCTCTCCTGGCTGTTGTTGTGCAGCAGATAACTGTGTTATCCCAGAGGCACTGTCACTGACGGGCTCAGCCTTGGCCAGCGGCGGGCCCATCTTGGAGTCGGCTGGTGTTGGCTCTGTAGGACGTTAGGGAGGCTTCTAGCAGCTTCT